CTTCCTAATCCTGCTGGCTAGAGGCTTGGAGAATGTTTGTACCGTGTTTTTGAATTTGTCTTGGTGTCCAGTTTTTGTAGTTGGCAAGTTAACATTATAGACTCTCGAAATAAAAGTATACAACTGGTCACTTAAAAGATAAATAAAAGATAAATCTCTCATTCTCCACATTTTAAAGAAGCTGCTCTTGTGCTTCATATATTTTTGAGTGCTTAGTCTGTAAAGGCCCTGAAATGAGGAATAGTGGGCAAGGGAGGAGCATTCAAAGCAGAAGAGTCAATGTTTCAGGGATGAGAGAGGTTCAGATTTTTATGTGTGAATAAGTGGACTGATAAAAGCAGTTGTAGAATGTTTCAAATGTTATAACTATGTATACTGAGTAGTTCTTAATTGGGTAGGCAGTGAGGAGCTGTTGAAGGTTTAGGAAAATCAGTCTGGGAATAGCACTAGGATGGATTAGGCTGATGAAGTACCATTTAGGAAACTGTAATGTGGTGAGAAATGAGGGTGCAGCTGAAGATGGAAACCATGGCAGTGAAAGGTGGGTACAGGAGGGAGAGGCCCTACCTTACCTGGGTTATGTCTTGGCCCTCTCATCAGCCCTACTGTGGTTCTAACACATAGTGGTCTAGTTCCAAACCAGGTGGTTTAATTTTTTTTTTTTTTTACTTGAAGACAATTTACTAACTGATGGTAGTGTAGTGCCTAAGGCATTTGACTGCTAACCAGAAGGCTGGCAGTTCAAATCCACCAGCCACTCCTGGGAAGGAAGATTGGGCAATCTACTTCTGTAGAGATACTTCCTCAGAAACCCAAGGAGGGGTCGCTATGAGTCAGATCCAACTTGACGGCAGTGAGTTTGTTTTTTGTTTTATCTTAATGAGAATTTTCATAATATACTTAAGAAATTTTTCATTATCAATCTGTCTCATTTGGAGATTGTCTGCCAGAGGTTTGAAAATAGGAAATAAGCTAATTATCCTTGGTTTACAGATTTTTTACTATGAAGTTTGGAAAATAGGGACGCTAGGCCATCATTATTTCTCTGTCCTGTGGTTCAGAAACTGGTGGGTAAAGTTGATTTCTCAAATTCTTACCATTCCCAGATATGGGAATTCAAATAATACTGTTGATTTCCTAAATTCTACTATTGTAAGAAACTTCAGTTATTAAAGTACTTGGAAAAAATAAACCAAATCAGTTGCCATTGAGTTAATTCTGACTCGTGGCGGCCCCATGTTGAATCAGAGTAGAACTGCTCCTTAAGGTTTTTAACAGCTGAATTTTTGGGAATAGCTCACCAAGTCAGCCTTCTGAGATGCCTGTGGATGGATTTGAACCCCCAGCATTTTGGTTAGCAGCTGAGTGTGCTAACTGTACAGAGACTGCTGAAGTCCATGGAAGGCTTTTTTTTTTTTTTAAATTGTGATTTGTGTGAAAGTTTACAGAGCAAATTCACTTTCCATACAGCAGTTCACACACACGTTGTCTTGTTACATTGACTACAATTTACCCCAATGCAACAGCTCCCCTCCCACTTCCTTCCAATAGTTACCTCTTCCCTGTGTCCATCCCTCCATGCGCTCCCGCCCCCTGATCTATCTCCCTGTGCTTAAACAGCCCTTCTTTTTCCCATGATTGTTCTCTCCAAGGAGTATATCTACCTCAGGTAAATGTTCAACTCACGTGCATGTCTTTTGTTTGGCTGGAAGCCACAGGTGTGGGTTCAATTCCAGACCTGAAGGACAGCTAGGGATCATAGTCTTAGTGGTTCCACCAGGCTCTATCAGACCAGCAAACCTGGTCCTCCCCTTCCCCCCGACAAATGATTTTGAGTTTTGTTCCACATTGTTCTCCCTCTCTGTCCAGGATCTCCTACATAGATGCCCCTCTTGGTGGTTGACAGTGGTAGCTGGGCATCATCTAGTTCTTCTGGTCTCATAGTTGTATAGGCTGAGGATCTCATGGTGTACCAGTCATGAGGACTAATAGTTTCCATGAATCTTTTTGGTTTTCTTCATCCTTCTTTGCTCTGGACAAGGAGGGACCCATCGTTGCATCTAGATGGCTGTACAAGCTTTTAAGATCCCAGTCGCTACTCACCAAAGTAGGAGGTGGAGCAATGTTTTGTGTAGTATGTTATGCCTTGAGCTTGATGTCCCCTGCGACTGTGGTCCCAAGCCCACAGGTTGAACTACTCAGTCCCTCTGGGTAGCTGGCTGTGACCAGGCAGTGACCACAACCTTGTCCCTTGTCAGCTCTACTATACCTCTGAGAATTCTTACAGAACATACAAATACACTTGTAGAACCATCGTCTACCAACCCTATACATGGTCTTGGGTATACTTCCTGCTGCATAGACATACCTAATAGTTCAGCCTGCCCACCCATCTATCCACCTGTATACCCATGTTTGCCTTCACTGACAATGCAGTACTGTATGTGCTAAAGGGTTCATCTTTGCTGTCTGTACCTCGCATGTACCTCTCTATGTCTTCCTCTTCCTCAGTGCCACCATGTTGATCACTCACATTTGGTACATTGCCCTTCTCTTCACCCAAATCAATACTTATCTCTACCTATCTAACAGTGTTCCCTACATGGAAAGCTTTTTAAAT